AGTGTTAACAATACCGAAAATAGAGCAGTAAAAAAGGTTCAATAGAAGGATTTAGAGGAAAGTGGGGAGATGGAGCTCAATAGGGAAAAGTAAGCTGGAGCAGAAGCACAGCACTGGGCTCCCACTGTGCTGCAAAAAGTGCTTGGGGCAGCGTGGGTCTGCTCGGGCTGCTACCGGGCTCACTTTGTTCTCAGCAATGACAGTTTCATTCAGGGAGGCATGCACTGGGCTCTCCAGGGCCAAAGCGCCCCTGTGCTAGCTTGCTCTTTCTTTCTCTGTGTGCTGTTCTTCTTTCAAACCTAACCTTTCCTGCTTCTCGGGCGCTGCGTGTGTGTGCGTGCATGTGTGCGTGCATGTGTGCGTGTGCGGATGTGCTGTAGATAGCTTGGGGTGAGTGCCTGCCATCAATGCACTGAATCAAATGTAGAGATCAATGTCTGACACTTTCTTAAATCAGGCATCTCCCATTATTGAAAAAGAATGCAGGAAGTGTATATGAACCGTTTAAGATGTTGTGAAATAATAATAATTTTTTTAAATAGATTTGTTTAACAGCTGTCCTTAGATTTAAATAGGGAGACCAGAATCAACAGAATACAAATCATGTACGTGGCTGATGCATCACTTCAGAGAATAAGCATGTAACCTCATTGAATGCATGAGGTGAGGTACTGGTGGTTTGTTTCCAGGGCAACGTGTTTACATTAACATTTTAGGATTTAACCTGCTGAGGATTTTTTTTAACAGTACCACTTGCAGTGTGCAATGCAACATAAGGTTATGCTTCATGTTCTCCATCATCATAACTGAAAATAATGCAAAGCCACTGTACACCGGCTATCTGATCAAGAAAGAATTATCACTTAAAATAAAATTGCTTAAAAAAAAAGAGAAAAGCAGAATAGCAGAAGGGACTTCTGAATAGAATATGATTCTGCTGTCTGAGCCTGACTAATGTGTACAAAGGTCTGCTTGAGAAAAATATAAAGACTTCTTAATGAATCCCTAAAAAGCACTCCATCTATCTATACCTGGGAGAAACTCCGCACAAGGACCTTAAAACAAAATGCTAAAATGGAGGTTTCACAGAATTTCAATAAGAATAGGTGCCTCTGGGCCAAAGCACTCAGGGTTACCTAAGGACAAGGCCTTTGTCTGGTCCCAGGTGGCCATGCCCAATTGTCTGCCTGTCTGTCATTTTGCCATAAGCACTTCATACAGCGCGGTGACCTGAAGGGACCAAGGATAATTTATTTTATCCATGACAATGTCCAGATTGTACGCCCGTCAATCACACACAAAGGAATGGGCACATGTGTGCATCAATACACAAATAGACATAAAAACTCACTAATGGAGCAAAAAGGAGCCACATGTGTGCGGATACTAACGAGCACAGTGTAACCATCTATTGTAACGTCTGTCAATACCTTTAATAGGTGGTAATTACTGTTAAGTTAACCAGTATAGGAACACAGCCAACAGTCTCTTTTTAGAACCGAAAAGATTACTACGCAACATCTGAGACAATGTGCATTAAGAGCTCGGCAAATTCTTATTACACAACAACATCATCTGTATGCCATCCGAGAGGTGACATTATTGTACTATTAAATATCATAGATATAAGTCATGCTTATGATCATTCTTACAATTGGCCTGGGTCTGATTTAGATTTCTGGGCAATACCTCCCTGCAGGTCAATCAGTATTGCTCCCCACACCTTTCAGGACAGGAGGGGGAAGTGGAGCAGGCGAGTTAGGGTTTATGGGTAGAGCTCTGCGAGAATCTGAGTCGAGGTTACCCAAAGTGCACTGGGGCTCTGCTGCCGGCTCTCCGTTTGAGGGCCTTAACCAAGGACTCAAGGGATGAGCGCAACATTTGAGGGATAGTGTGTGTGTGTGTGTGTGTGTGTGTGTGTGTGTGTGTGTGTGTGTGTGTGTGTGTGTGTGTGTGTGTGTGTGTGTGTTTCTGGGCATGCATGTGTGTGTGCGCTGTTGTGTGTGTATTGAGGGTTGGATCAGTGGAGTAAATCCACACTTGAAAGAGTAGCTCAATCAAGCTCTCCCACCCATCTCTCTCTCCCCCTGTCTCATCTCGCTGATGCACCCCTGCTCCCAGTTCACCGAGAGTTGAAGAGTTCACAGGACTGAGAGCTGGAGAGTGCACCACGGGGCGAATCAGAGCAACTAGGAACCTGTAACACTTATCAGCACCCTATTCTAACTGTCAATCGATCTCTGAATAAGGAGCAGCCATTGACAGGGCGTACCAAAGTCAATATTGGCTCAACCAACGTAACGAGTGAATTGATGATAATTTAGACACGGACAGAAAGTATTTAAAACATACTTACTCTACCGTTAGTCACTCTTGGTTATTCCCATATATCTTTGAAACAGTGTCCAAGTGGAATTACTGAATATTGAAAACTATATTAGTCTATAATATCTATTAGAACAAATCTATTAGTTTAGAGCCTTTGAAAAACAGAAGAACTAGTTGAATGATAAAGCAAAAATACTTGAGATTATTGCATATACAACACAATCATTGAATAAGTGAAGACTGTCAGCTTGACTGTTATATAACTTGTTCAGCTGATATAATTAAGAATACGTTTTTCAACGACAGATATCCTGGCTACTAATTCAATTATAAGATGATATGAAATCAAAATGATTATATTAAAAGTCTGATATAAATGTACCACTGTCTTTGTAGACAAAACTACTTTTGGTTATCATTCTGTACACCGTCTTTGTTTGATTTCTGCAGCTGGTCTGTCTTCATTGACGAGTAAAGCCTTTACTTTGAAAGGGAATAAAAAGCATGACCCAACATTTTGTTTCCTTTCGATTTGATAAAGACAATTTTACGCTGCCAAATGTAGAGAAGATGCCCTTCATTAGAACAGTGCGTTCCAAGCATGTCCATATTTTAATCCAATCTAGTTTAGCATGATAAAGGGCATCACTGCCAAACGGCTTTACTGCCCACCCACTCGTGTGCAGACATATACACGCTTGACATGGAGAAAATATGGTGCCTTTAGGGAATCTGGGGTTGACAATGCACCAACCAAAACACACATGGACGTTTGGAGAGACAATTATGTAATTTTCTCCTCACGAATTAAAGAATTGACAGGTTAATTTGATAGGCTGAGATAAACACATCCATCTAAATGGAAGCATCTTCTCATTGCATTGAAATGAACAAAGATACCTTGCTTGAAGGAAAAACGGCCTGTGGTGGTTTGCACTGGGTCATTAATTTGCTCCATAAAACTCTTATTTGAATTAAGGGTAGAGTAAAACTTTTTAGGAGGAAAATGTCATTAGTGTCTCGAAAGAGCTTGAAGCTGCTTTCTCATGTGTGAGAAATAAGAGAAGAGAGTTTCTCCTTAACCCAATAAATGGTTCAGGTACTGACTCACCAGACCATCTTTGATTCACTTGTCAGGCTACAAAATGAAGGAGATTTAGAAAAAGAAAATTGTGAGGAAGCTATTTTCGTGGCACTCCATTCAGATGACTATTAGCTGCCAAGAGCTGTCATTGACATAAAAGGACGCCGAAGGGGTTTTGTTGTGTATGTGTCTACACATGTGTGTTAACAGTGACTCATTCTGCATCACTCTTTGGAACATTGTTGCTCGCAGAGACAGCCTCATCCGCTAAGTTGGTGAGTGCACACATTTTTAAGTAAGTGTGTGTGTGTGTGTGTGTGTGTGTGTGTGTGTGTGTGTGTGTGTGTGTGTGTGTGTGTGTGTGTGTGTGTGTGTGTGTGTGTGTGTGCATATGTCAACATCCTCTTTGTGTACATAGAGGCTGTGGAGATGCGAAAACCCCCTGCTCTCTGAAACAAAACAAGTGCCCAAAAATGTGACAAGCGGGCTGAGTAGAGACAAGCAATCCTTAAACAAGAGGACATGAATTGAAGTGCTTTGAACGTTGTCAGAATGGGCCGAGGCCTCACTGAGACAGACTGACGGAAATGATCACACTCGACAGAAGACCCCGGCATGATGGCACCGTTTGTTTCACATCTTACATCCATAACCAGTGCAGTTCAGATGAGCTAAACTAAAAGTTACAGATTATGATAATTATAATAAAGTTGCCCAGATATGGTTAATAATTTTCAGGCAAGTTTTTAGATGACGATGAACAAATACACAAGAAGGCCACAAAGA